CTTGGACCCTTAGGGCAAGTTTAGGGATTAGGGTTTATACGTTTTGGGTTTAGGGTTATAAAGGATTAGGGTTTATAGGGTTTATAGGGTTCATAGGGTTTAGAGATCAGGGTTATAAGGAATTAAGGTTTATAGGGTTCAAGGTTATAAGGGTTAAGGGGGTTTAGGGATTAGGGATTCAGGGCTTAGGGATTTATGTAGGGGTTAGACCCAAGTTTAGGGATTAGGGATAATAGAAAAATAGAAAAGAAAATGGACACTGCTATGATGGGGTTATATTGGGGGGGTATATTGGGAAAATGGAAAAGAAAATGGAAACTACTATAATGGGCTTATATTGAGGATTTAGGGTGTTGGGCTTAGGGATTAAGGTTTATAGGGGTTTAGGGAGTAAGGTTTATAGGGCTTAGGGATTAGGGTTTAGGGTGTCGGGCTAAGGAATTAAGGTTACTGTAAGGGTTTAGGGATGAGGATTTATAGGATTTATGGATTAGGGTTTACCCATGCGAGCTTAGGGATTATAGGTTCTAGAGGTGATGGTGCAAGGATGCAAATATTAGGGTGTGAGGCGCAAGACTATTCAGATTATGCTATTTGGGGCCTAAAGCCCCAAAGAAATGGGTCCTTGGACCCCTAGGAAAGCTTTGCAAGAACTGTAAAAATTTCTAAGGATTCTAGGAAGTACAGCGCGTTTGTAAGTACGTTGTATGTCATAGGTAGGTTTAGAGGTGTCTTGGAACTTCCTGTAGCGATAACTCCTGGTAGGTTCTCGCACTACAAGAGGAACTCCTGTTCTGTGGCGTGGCTAGCTAACACTCGAAAGGGCCATATAATGCCATATATATTCGTATGATTACGTATGTAACCCCATGAAATCTTTAGGACATCGTCTTAATTTGGGTTTTGCCAACTTTGCGGCTTGCTTTGCTGTGGCAATGCGGAGAACGCATCCATACAGGGGAAACGAAAAGAATCAAGCCTAACGATCTGGCTTTCATGAGTCCTACTCATGTAGAACGCTCCTACCCCGCCCCCCTTAAAGCGAACCGCTGGCGAAGCCGTGGCTTTGTGCCCTGGTAGGACATCTAGCTGCGGGCCTTTGGATTTGGGGGGCTCTATGCTCTTGATCCGTTACCCATCTGGGTACACCAGCTGACGGGGCACGTAACCAGGAAGAGGAAGCCAACAGCAGCTGGCCAGAAGGCAATGATGCTCGTCATGTCCATAGTGTCCTTAGCTGCGTCACTGACTATGCGCACCAGCGTGCTCTGACGAGTTTGGCGAGACTTGTCGCTTTGCAGCATTGGTTGAGCTTGGTTCTTGTTATTGAAAGGTTTCAAAAAATCCGTCCCACTTGGGCCGCTTTGATAGCACGGTCCATATCAGACTCATCGTCTCTGGGGGCCGCAGCTGTCTTTATGGGCGATCTTGACGTATTGGCTTTACTTGCCCGAGATAGATTGGCCACAAACCCCTGGCAACCCCGAAGCAGCATATGCAGGCAATGTGTCGTTGTGCCCATACATTTCCGTGGCGCATTACCCCGAATCTAACTTCACTGGTTCAGCCTGTCATTCCTGCATTGTGAGTCCTTCGCATGAGGCTTTGAAGATGACTCGCAAGATGCCTTTCCTTGCTTGGGGCTAGTTGGGAATAAGGGAATGCATTCTATAGGGATTATGGAAGCTTGCTATGTTCACATGTTGATTATGTAACGATTATATTGCCTTATTCCCACGAACCACCAGTAAGTTTCAGTCCTGCGGCTCCTCCAAGCGCTGACATCTACTGATCTGCAGGCCTAAGGAGAGTAGCCTACAAGGTGCCCCCTTTCGGGTTCCGTGTTAGTTCGCGGCGGGTAGGATAAACCCAAGCCTTACGCCCCAAACCCCTAGACGTTAACCCCCCCAATCCCAAGCCACCAATCCCAAACCCCAAACCCCACATAAACTCCAAACTCACAAACCCCAAGCCCCTCAACCCTGAACCCCCAAGCCTACACCCTTAAACCTTGCACCCCGAAGCCTATAGTCCCCCTTAAGTAGATAGACTATGGCTTTGGGTATATTAAAATAAGATCCCCAGACATACCCTATATTCTATCTACTTAAGGGGGGACCCTAAACCCTAAACCCTAAATAGTAGTTTCCATTTTCTTTTCCATTCTCCCAATATAAGCCCCATATAGCCCTATATAATCCCGATATAACCCCTAGCTACTTAGGGGGGACTATAGACCCACAAACTAAACCCTAAGCGGGACTATAGACCCACAAAGTCGCCCAGCGTCTCCCCACCGGATGCACGGGCAAAAGCAGGCCGAGCAGCAGGTCGGCAGATCTGAGAAGCAGGCGAAATGCCCAGAGGACCATTGCTTCAGCTCCATCCTGAGATAGATTTCAGGGTTAGGGTTTAGGGTTTAGGGTTGAGGGTTTAGGGGTCTAGATGAGTTGCGGTTTTTTTTGGGTGGTTAAACCCAGTAAGAAGATGTTCCTGATATAAAATACTATACCCCAAACGGAGGATATAATCTTACTCTATATTGGGTGCCATAGTCTCCCCAAATAAAATACTACTCAGATAGATTTCAGGGTTGAAGTGGCTTAGGCCTTAGGGGTTTGGGGCGTAGGGCTGTGGATTTAGGGTATAGAGTTTAGGGTCGGGGTTTCGCGGTGTAGGCCTTGGGTTCTGGCGTGTACTGCTTCGGATTTAGAATTGTGATTTAGGGTTTAAAGCTTGAGGTTTTGGGGAGGAGCATGGTTTTGGCTTTAGAGCGTAGCGTGTAGGGTCTTGGGTCTAGAATGGTTTCTGGTCTGTGGTTGAGCTTGGTGCTTAGAAGGGAACGGTGAAGGGTTACAAATGGAGTGCTACAGAGGCATTTGTATACCTGGCCATTCCTGATTAGCTGACAAGAATCCCAAGATAACCCAAAATACGGCACTTTTCTCCATCTCATGGTGAGCGGGATCTTGCTGCTAACAATGTTGCTGATAATCGTTTCGCAGACATGTCTCGACATGAGTTGGACATGCCACGCAGAACCTCCATCGTTACTAACACCAAGCATGACGTTAGTCATGTGATGCAAAATAATGCGGAACTAAAATGAGATATAGTTGAAACTCCAAGTATCCCCCCTTAAAACCCCTATAGTAGTCCCCTATATAATCCCCTATATAACCCCCCCTTTTAGGGAGTTAAGACTATGGCTAAAATTGCAACAATGCAAGGTTGGTTTAGGGCTTGGGGGTTTGAAGATCTATCCCAAGGAAACCCAGATTTGCAGCATCTTTTCCTGGAATCTGCAGAAGACTTCCCTCAAAATTGCTCGTAACCTTAAACAAGCTACCCTGCTTGGAGGGTCAGGTGGAGCTAGTAAGTAGGCCAATAATGGGATCTCTGGGTTTGTTATAAGGCTTACAGGAAATAAAAGCATACAGTATACCTATGTATACCTTCCCCCCCAAAGCCATCCCTGGCGACAACCCGAACGGTAGCCAAGCTGCGACTCCTCAGAGACCTTCGGCCATTTCTTCACGTACCTCACGGTCATCTGTTGGCTTTACGATTTCTGAGCTTTAAGGCTTTTAGCTCAAGGGCTTTGAGGTGAATACACGGGGTGGTATAAGGGGCACTGCTCTGTCAGACACAACAGTCTGAATAGTCCACAGGCGGATCCTCGCCCCAAAAAACAATGACTTCCACCTTCTCCAACCAGAGATGTTCGCACTGTAGTGCGATTGGATAGTGGGAGGAGTGCTCATAGCACAAGGGGGTGGATTGGGGCTGGCATGTTCAGGATGATTTGGATTATCACAAATGTCACTCAGCTGATAATATCAGTTGGCCTACTGTTCACACTGAAATTCAGGAGACCTACTCCAAGACTCATTCCGAAGCGTTCATGAAACCACAAGGAACCCAAGAACCTGGATAGTCCCTAATCACCTCGGCCCTGAACCCAAAATAATGCCCAATTCAGGGTACCCCCAAACAGCACCTGGCGCTGACAAATGTTAATATGCTCTAGTATAATGACCAGGTTATCTAATGTTATATTACATTCTAACAAACTATACTATGTACTCTGACAGTAACATGCGTATGTATTGCGTTCAACTACGTACTGACGAGTTATCTTAGATCCAGTCCTGTAGATGAGCGCGCCCGAGAGACCGAACACCGCCTCAGTCATGATGAGGCTGACTTACTGGCTGTTCGGGGTTGGCGTCCTCTGCGGACATGGGGCTCTGCATAGTAATGGAAAAGAAATGGACAAAACTAGACTGTTTTTGGTTTAGGGTTTGGGCTTCCAAGTGGAAAGTCAAGTGGAAAACCAAATGGAAAATTAAATGGAAGCTGGGGTTTACAGGGACAGGTAGGGATGAAGGACGTAATGTTCAGTCTCTGGTGCTTAAACTGGAATGTCTACAATCCCTTCTTCCTTCATTGCCTGCCAATCACTACTAAGCTCACGACACTGAGGTTTTTGAAAACCACCGCGGACATACTGGGCGGCTGCTGATTCTACAGACACCCAGTTGAACCCAACCCAGCCTTCCATTCGCTCTGCACATTCTGAAGGCCCAACACACGACCACAGAAGTTCCCTTGAACCCTGAACCCTAAGCCCTAGACCCAAAACCTTTTGAAGACGCATAAAGTGCAATATCCTTGCGGTCCCACTGTCTGAGAAGCTTCCACGCAGTGCAAACGTCTTTTGGCGACGGAGCTGGGGCTAAGACCGTCACGCCGGCAGAAATGAGCCTGGCTTCGGTGGACCCCCAAATACAAACAAGGAACGCCTCAAGAAGCCCTGTACCAAAGGAAACACGGGTGGCTTATAGTGCTTATATCGGGATTATGGCAAAGAAAATGGAAACTACTATAGTATATTGGGGTTATATTGTTGGGAGGATGATCTGGCCTTAGCTCCTAGGATTTACAGACAGTGTGCTGTCTACTACGACCCCGGAAACGCGGTTTCAAGATATTTCCAGCATCTGGGAGAGATATGACGAGCTTGCAATGTCGGGCTGTAAAAGTTGGCTTCAAGATAAAGCCCTTGGATAATAAGGCCTGGCTTCAACTCCTCTTTGCAGCCCTTTGCACACACTTTGTACTCTCAGGCATCAACCCCTATTGAAATTTTCAACACCAAAATCTCGGGCCCCCTTCTTTTCCGGTACCCCAACACGAAAGGCCTGACCGCTTGGCCACCGCGGCAAACGCTGATTTGTCAAACTTTCGGCTTTAGGGTTCATGGACCACATTTCCAACCTGATCGAATATTGGATGCCATAAACCCTAAACCATAAAGCTGTCATATGAGCTATAATCTAAACTCCTTAAATGGGGGTTATATGGGGGATTATATAGGGGACTACTATAGGGGTTATTAAGGGGGATACTAGGAGTTCAGACTATAGCTCATATGCCCCAAGAAGAGCTGTCTGGAATCCATTTCACAGTGACTTGCATTCTCCTGATGTAGAATCTTCAAACATGCTATTCTTCCTGGTGCTTAGTAGGGAATATGGGAATATATCCTATAGGGATTGTATGGAAATTATACTCCCTTATTCCCTACTCAGAACCAGTAAGCATTGCGTTTTTGGGCGGCCCTACCTGAGGCCTAGCCCCATGACAAGTACCAAGCCTCCAAATCCACAGCGCGTGTGCGTTCTGGCTCGTGGATGGCCTGACATATTGATGGTAGAAACTATAGTCCCCCTGAAGTGGATAGAATATGGGGCATATGTGGACCTTATTATAGTACACCCAAAGCCATATTCTATCTACTTAATTAAGGGGGGCTATAGCCATAAAGTTCGCGCCCCACATGATCTGCAGGAAGGGCTCCCACAAAAAAGCCCCAAATCCTGATCTCATTTCCACGTCCCTCACGTTAACCCGACATTAACCTTATCTATCCCGATAGAATTCCAGGAAAACTCATACAAAGCAGTAAGCTCTAAACCCTAAACCCTACGTAGTAGTTTCCATTTTCTTTTCCGTTATCCCTATATAACCCCAATATATACCCCATTATAATCCCTATATAACCCATTATAGTAGTTTCCATTTTCTTTTCCATTATCCCTATATAACCCGTATACATCGCCCCTAGGCTTCTGCAACCCTAATGGAAGCAAGCAACTTCGTCGTCATGGGCGACATCTTCACCAAATCTTGGTTGTTGGGAGCGCCCGGCGGGCCATCGACA